AATTGTGTATTTGTAATTTAGAATATAGGAGATGGCAGATTCTTGGAATGGATGAGCAAAGGCCCAGTTAAGAGACTGGGCCTGCAAGTACATTTTGTTGCAAGTGTTCCAGGGTGTGCTGAGAAGTTTGATAGAAGATCTACCTGCTTATGAGGTGTACCTCTTAGTTGGGGAGGAGGGAAATGGGAAATGGCATGCTGGCTTGCAAAGTAATCTCTGGATTAGAGGTCCTGGCGCTCTGTTTTAGGAACAGTGTGAGGATATTTGGGATAAAATTGGATTTTGGTTGTTTTCTGTGGAACATACTGGCCAGAGGAACCAAACTGCCAGCACCGTTGCCTAATTAATATCAAGGAATGCTGCATGGGACAAGGATATGACTACAGCTGGTGGTCTAATCTCCTCTTAATTTAGTAAAGCAAAGTTTATGTGAAAGTCTCAATGGATCAAGGCCGTGATGGGTGGTGGTCAATAGCCGTGAGTCCATCTGTTATAGGGCAATAGTAACAGAATGAAGTTGTGCTGTTATTCTCACCAAAGTACGTATTTTGCGTGGGGGGGTTCCTTCAGGTGTGCTTCCATTACGGTGGTGGAACCTTATTAGTCAGGGCAGGGCCATTGGGCTGCGCTTATTACATTGGTTTGGTAACCCACCGGACTTAAAAATGAAATACAGGCATTGCTTATTAACACGTAGTAGAATTTGATTTTCTTTAATGATTTTCTTATTTTTTTTGTCCCATGTTCACAATTTTCTGAAGTGATGCAACAAATCAATTAACATGCTTTATAATCAGAAATCAACTCTTGAGGGTATCAAATGCATGTAAATAAAAGGCCTCATTAGTGCCCTCCTTTGCACAGGGCAGAAAGCAGAAAGTATGGAAAGCAGCTGAAATATTATCCGCCAACCGGAAAGGCGCCCGGTGCTCCTGTGCCCAGGGGAGGAGAGGATGGGCGATACGGGGCGTCCTGGTGATGATGTAGCCCAGATGTGTGTCATCCACACTGAGAGGTTGGGTTTGGGGGAAGGAAAACAGCAGTTCAAGTTGATGGTTGTAGTAGCAGAGGATTTTAAAGAAAATCTGGGCGTCCCTAGGCAGCTGTTTTTCTTTTTCTTGTTCTCCTATCCTCCTGCATTGAAAGGGACCCCTCCCTGTTTTTTAGGATCCCCTCAATTGTGACATATTGCATTGTGAGGATGCTGAGTCCCTAGTACTTTTCCTACAGAGCAGAATTGAGGGGTGAGCTCGGACCAAAAGCTGCTCAAGCCAGGGAAAGTATTGTATTGGGTGTATTCGGATGCTCACAGAAACTAGCAGGAGCAAAAATGAAGATAAAAGAGAATTAAACAAATCAGTTAAAGAATTAAAATGCATTGATGAAAAGAAAAGAAAGTCCACCTTAGCAAACGTACCTCTGATGGAAGTGGAACCAAGCAAAGGTGCAATTAGAGGTATCAGAAAGCAGCCCTCTAAGGAGAGCGTGATCTTAATCCAAACAGGATGTTAGGTAAGGCCCAACCTGGCCAGACCACCTGTGAACCTCCCCACACTCTGCTCTTCTTCACCTCAGTGCCTCTAAGGTTCATCGTTTCCTTAATGCTGGAGCCCAGAGGACATCTAGACCCCAGCAATGGTTCCATTCCTCTTATTTGGTCTCCTTTAGCTGGCCACCAAGATTAAGTATCCATTTCTTTTCATCCATCCAATTTGTTATTTAAAACAAGATTCAGACAAAATGTCCTAAATACTCTGATTGCTGAAGATTCAGTCTGTCTGTCTGAGTAGATCTGGTTTGTGCTACTCAGGCACCAGAATCTTCAGAATACTGTTTCTGTGATGATATTAACAGGTCTTTTTTAATTAAATGTGCAACCAGACACAAAATCTGCAGTTACAAGAGCATTTAGTCCCAAGAGTGTTTGTGCATTAATACAAAAGTTTGCTGGGCTAGCTCATAGAAAAGAAGTAGCTGATCAACAATGTGAAATTAAAATAATGGACAATTCCCCACCCAGTATATGCAGTTCTGTTTGGGCAGAAGACAAAGGCCAGAGGAAACCCCCCCCCAGATCCACCGCTGAGCCCACCAGAGTCTTCCCCATTGTTTTGAAGATGGAGGAGGAGGAGGAGGAGGAGGCTTTTTGCTTTGCATGCAGGAAGACTCGGTTGGGAGACCTCTGAGGAGGGGTTGACAGACTCTCCCAGCGTTGCCATGGCTCAGCACAATGTGTCTAGGATTGAATCTGGAGCGTAGCTCAAGAACTGTGGCTGGTATAAACCACAGAACCATGGAGGCTGGTTCCCAAACTCAGGTCCAGCGCCTCTTTTCCTCCGTAATGGTAATTTGGCCTTTCACTTCCTACACTCGCTCATTTGTCATAGGTGCCCATGTACATTTTTCATGTTTCAGATTGGGGAAATTGTAGCTACTAGCAAAACCCTGAAGCGAAACATTTTCAAAGGAAAACAAAAAAACAAAAAAGTCCAGTTGCCTTTTGGAAAAAGCACCTTTGGGTCAAGATGACAGCCACAACCAGATGATTGAAGGCCCGCCCCTTTACATGTGCCATGGCAAGAAGCAGGAGCTTCAGTTCCCTACTGTGACCGCCATCTTCACTTTTTAACTCCTAGACGTCCCTGGGCTGTGCCAAAGGCAGGTTCCTTCAAAGTAAGATGGAGGACAGGTATGGCCCTCCACCACCCCCCCCCCCGGCACATCCCTTGATGCCATATCCATTCACTCCCCCTCGTAATCCGCAGGAACACCCAAGCTCAGCGATTCCCAAAGCATCTCATTAAAAGAAAAAAAGAAGGCCACGTAATTCTCCCACTAGATTTAGTGGCCGGCTACATGAGCTCCAACACAAATTGCTTAACCTTTGAATTATAGCAGAGAATAGTTTGCTGATAGAGACTGAAGGGACATCTGAGGAACAGTAAAAGAGATGCTGAAAGACTCCAGTATTGGCACTTCCAGGACTGGAAGTTGTATAAGGAGATCTATTGGCACACCACAGTGAAGCTGTAGGAGAACCTCTCTCTTGTTCAACCCTACGTAAACTGAACCCTCCATTTTGTGTAACTTAATCTTACTCTGGGACTAATCTTAGAGAGGCAGCAGGGCAAAATCATTTGCTTGTGACCACTTTCCCAAGGTTGGAGGCTGACTTTGTTCCCCAGCCGGTCAGTGGTGAAAGGGAGGCCAGGACTGAAGACAAAGGGGCCTCTGGGCATGAAATCAGCCACAACCCACCTTGGCCCTGTTGTTGTGGAGTTACGCCCGTGGGGGAGTCTGAGCCGCTGTTCTTCTCCGGAGACCAAAAGCTTTTTGGTAATTCAGTCCCTACCAGACGAGACTCCACCCGGCACAGACTCCTGGTCTTGGGGATTCTCTCAGGGACTCTGGAAAGGTTTTTATGAGGCCTCCTTAAAACTCACGTCTCTCTCCTCAGTCCCACAAAAGGGGTTTCAATTCACCAAGCAAGATTTATGAGTTCCATCGTAATGGGTACAAATGTCTGTTAAGGGATCCCCAGTATGTAGTTCTACTTAAAAATGAAAAAGTTATTGCTAGAAGAGACCCCGGCCTGCCCACCACCTCCTGCTTGTGCCACGAGTCCTTCAGAACTGCTCCTGTTGTGTCAGGGGACGGTGACTTCTCTATGTACCGTGTACATTTACACATGTTCATTTACCCTCTTAGTGCAGTTGGTGCCTGGTGGTAATGCTTCCCCGGGAGATAGAGATGTCAGCCCTCCCTTTTCCAGTTGTTTATTTATGTAGTTATTTGTTTTAAAGTAAAATACATGCGTTAGGCCAGTTAGAGGCATAATTCACCTGTTTACTATTCTGAGGGAGAAAGAAATGCTAAATGAACATTTGCGCTGCCATTATTCATGAAACCAAATTTCAGCAAAGGAATCTTTGGCGTGTCCAAAATAGGGCTGGGAGTTAGATACGGTACATCCCCGTCCTCTCCCTCTGCCCTTCTGGACTGGGGGATCTCGTGCAAGTCACCCCCCTTCCTGCCCTTTTGCTATCCCTGTGGAAGCTGGATAGTTGGGGAGCTGAAACAGCAACTCAGACTGACAGAGTTGGAATGGACCTTGGAGGTCTTCTAGTCCAACCCCCTGCTTGAGCAGGGGACCCCGTGCCATTTCAGACTAGTGGCTGCCCACTCTCTTTTAGAAAGCCTCCAGTGTTGGAGCACCCACAACTTCTGGAGGCAAACTGGTCCACTGGTTGATTGCTCTCCTGTTAGGGAATTTCTCCCTATGGTGAGAAATTTACTTACTTACTTCTTACTACTTACTTCTCTCCTAATGAAATTCAGCAGAGAGAATCATGAACTTAAGACACACTGTGGTTTATTATGAATACTTGTTGTTATTGATTTTAAATTAACATTTCCTAACTGTTTCTGGATGTGTTTTCACCTTGTTTCCCTTGCCTTAATCTGTAGCCAAAGAGCACGTAGGCTTTCAAGTTCTGCATCAAGCAAGAAGAAATAGATCCAGGACTGAGCCAGATTGTGTGGCCAGTAAGGTCTTCCTTATTTTAGGCAAAGGTTTTGGAGTGATGGAAAGTCCCGCTGCTTGGTGCTGTGTGTTGATTATGCCTAGGACATGGAGTCAAGGGAGCAAAATCTGATTCCCAGCTCAGAAACTCCGAATGGCAGCTGTAATCCAGAGCTCAGGGGTTCTGCTAGACAGTCCATGGCCAAAGAGGTGCTCCAAAACGTCCTTGATAGCAGTGGATTCTGCTCCTGCTTTGCAAATATTTCCCCTTCCATTGGAGCCACAACTTCTGTCAGGGATTCACCTGGTGCGTTTCTCTATTTAAAATGGTCTAGAACTGGACAAGGTTCTGCTGCTGCTTCTTCTGGCTCGTATCTAGAAATGGGCGTTACAGGCTGAGTCCGCTCCCGCTCTCGCTCGTGATCCTTCTGGCAGCTGATGGTTTTGTCTGCTCACCTTTCTCTCTCCCCCCCCTCAGGTGGCCCCTTGTGCTCCTGCTGCGTCCCTGACCACGTGGGCCTCTCCTTCCTCCCCACCTATGGCTGTCAGAGCAATCGCACGGCTAGCGTGGCAGCCCTGCGCATGAAGGCCCGGGAGCACTCGGAAGCAGTCCTGCAGTCTGCCAACCTTCTGGCCCCTGGTGGCAGCCCCAGCCCCAGCCCGGCCTCTGGGCCGAAGTCAGCCTCTGAGAATGTCTTGGACAACAAGCCCCCTTTGACCATGGAGCACAAGGAAAGCGAGAAGAGTGTTTGAGAGCCCACCGTCCAGGCCATGGGGATCCCTCGCGCCCTCCAAAGCCAAATGAAGTCCAGCTCCTCAGGGGAAGACTCAGTCGCTGCAAATTAGCAAGACGTGGGCGCTCACTTGTTTTGGCCATCTCTGATCGGTAGCTTCCCTCCCCTCAGGTTCCTTACCGTTCTCACTAAATCTGTCGGCACCTTCTGCCATTAGCTCGTCTGAAAGAGGAATTAGATCAGGGGATCTTCCCTGTGGAGGAAGACAGAAGGACGTTTTCCAACGCCTCCTCTTCATGTAGCGCCCGGGAGCCTCTTCATTAAGGAAAACTGCATAGAAACACGCTGGCATTTCACATGGCAGAACCTGAGATTATGAGGACATTATAAGCATGGTTTAGGAGGCTTGGATGTGCTGATTGACCCAGGCACTTGGGCAATGATCTGTAATGTGCAGAAAAGGAAGCCAAAATCACGTACCTGCTAATAGGCTTAGCTTTATTATACCAATGATACCGAATTACTGTCCAGGCCCAGGAGAGAGGGAACATACCGAATCTGCATTATAGGAATCAGAGACAGCTTCATGAAACCATCTCCCTTCCTTTAGAACCACAAGGGCATCAGCCGTGGCATCTAGTAAGGGTCCAGCTAATGAACATTTGGGTGATGATCCCAGCCCTTACATGTATAGTGTAATCTTTCTGAAAGATTTTATGGGTACAGGGACATTTTTTTTAAGCTTGCATCATTTGGAAAAACAAACACCTTAGGCCAGACTGTAAATTATATCTAATTTTGGGTCATTGGCAGTGCAATTCCGTAAACATCTTTTCAGAAATAAGTTTCACTGAATTCGGTGGAGTTTCCTTCTAGGTAAGTGGCTATAGGATTATAATCAAAAGTGTTTTGCACATGAATCAGTTCTCGGATCACCTCTTTGACGAAGAGGCCTTGCTTTGCTTTCTTAGTCTGTGTGCTTCCCGTATCAAGAACCCTTTTTCAATTTATTCTGATTCTTGCTGCAGCAAACTGTAAATTTCACAGTAACGTATCTGTTCTGTCTCGAGATATATACAGCAAATACTGTATATTCTTGCTTTGACAACTGAGAGGCTTAAGACAAAAACATCCTTCTTGTCTGCAGAGGAAGAAAAGCCACTGGAACAATCACCTTCAACCAAAGTTTGATTCATGATTGTAATTAATTAGATCCTGTGGTGTTGCAATTTTTCTAGATCAGATCCTGCATTGTCCCGATTCCTCTCTGGAAGTCTTCTGAAACCACACACCCTTTTTGTAGGAGTCATCCATTAATGTGAAGGCGTGCCTTCTCTTCCGCCCTGGCAAGGACTGGCGGGTGTTTGGAGCAGCTCCCCCGGGGCCTGTGCCTCTGCCTATGGCGGCTTAACACCACAGCTCCCCATCGCAGATACACCCGGCACCCTTCTAACTCCCGTGGCTGGTTGCGGTGCCAGAAGCGAAAGTAGGCCTCATTGAACTAAAATGGCCCTGAATATATGAGCCAGAGATGAAGAGACTCTATAAATAACAGAGATGTTTCCCCAACTGACAGGATACCTGCATTTCTTCAAATAGTTTGGTGACTGGGAGAATGTATGAATATGTAGCAATCACGTGCCCAGAGCCTTTCTCCAGAACAAGGCAGAAGCGTCGTTCTGAGCTGTCTTCTTTACAATGATGACAAACAGCCCTGCGGTGCTGTCTTTGTCCAGAGGAAGGGAGAGGCCAGTGATCCCGCCTACCTCCCCCTCCCCAAACTGCAAAAGGATTGTTTATTCTCTGTACACTTGATCCAGATTGACCTTTCTGTTGATCTCTTTGATTCACTCGTATTCCCAAAAGAGAACAGGCAGTGGTAGGAAACACGGCTCCCCCCTCCCTCCCCCCTCACCCCCCCCCCCCGCATTAGATCCAGCCCCTCTTCACCTCCAGCCAGGCTGCATTTATCTGAGGGGCCCTGAGAGCAGCAGCTCTTCCTGACAACGAAGCCCCCCCCCCTGTGAACTGTGGGGGGGGGGAGAGGGAACCCGGCCTTTTTCTGCCATCATCCAATCACCATCGCGAGATGGGTTTTTTTTTTAATCCTTTTCTTTCCAAAAGTTCCACCATCAAAACCATTTGCCAAACAGAAGCAATTTCACTTCCATTGCAGCATAATTACCGATCACTCAGGTGAATTTGCCCGTTACGTATATGAACTCTTCATTCTAATGGTTTGATTAAACCCATTTTTCCACCAGAAAGGTACATAAATAAGTGAACTGTTGAGCAAATTAAGAACACTTAACAGCATTGCATCTGAAAAGTAGTTATGCTGATTAAATTTTCTGTCCTTGAGGATTTTCAGGAAATTACTTTTGATCGTCAATAACACAATTAAGTAAACTACACACACATTAGCATGAATAATTGATAAGAAATTATGTATTACCACAAAGCACTGATTTAATAATTCATGGTGCGACACTCTAGTGACTGTGCAAAACTGGAGGCCATCACAAAGTCTGTCTGATGTGGCTGGAAAAGCTGCCTGGCAGATTCGCTGTATAATAATATGAAATACTCTGCATGATGTATTTTCTGTTGCTTTAATAAAAAAAAAGGACATTCAGAAGAAAAAGACTCCAAAGATCATTCTGTATTATTTGTAAGTCTGTTTTTCTCACTGTTCATCCCTGATCTGACTGATTTCATATAGGTGCAAGTGCACATGTGTGTGCAAGTGTACAGACCCACAGCCGGGCGCCACAGTCCTTCAGAGCCGCTCCGGTGTAATTCTGAAAGTACCACTGACCCAAACCACGAAAAGGACGGGACTCGGGCAGAATCTCGGCTGCGTTCCCGGGAAGGAGAGGTTTCACAAGGAGAGGAGAAATACCAATGATAAATTGATACAAGGCATATTTGAGTTTCAGTCTTCTGACAAACTATTAATCTAAGAAGGCGAGTTGGAAAATCTTCACTCTGCCCGAATGAATTTCCTGCTTCAAATTGATTCACCCAGTCCTCGGCTCTTTGCTGTAATTGACACTAATTCTTCAAGATCTCAGGCGGTGATTTATTTTCCATCTTTCTTCTGTGGGATCCTAGAAACATTAACCAAAGAAAACTTGTCTGTGACTAAACTAAGCGGGGTTTGTATGTTTGCATGTTTGTGGGTGTGTGACAGTTACAAAGACGGGACGTGGGGGGGGGGGTGGTTCACTTGACTGCTGTTAGGTGGGTCCTAGCTAAAAACAGTTGCTTTCCTCTACTTCTGGTAGAAAGACCCCCAAAGGCCCTGCACCCACAGTAAACGCATAAAAATACACGGAAGCATCCCCAACAGCCGTCTCCTGGCTGCATCCAGTAAGTCTCTTCTGCAAGCTCCTTCGGCTTTCCTAAGAAGAAATGTTGCTGATTTATTAATATGGAGAAGCGAGATTGCAGCGAGGGAATGCTCTTGGTTCAAGGTTTCGGCTATTGCATGCCTCTTGGCTGGCAGGATCAGAAACAGGGATTTGATTTCTTTAATATGCAAATGATGCACCCTCAATTCTATTAATTTATTTCTTCTGATTTCCTGATCTGATCTCTCTCTCTCTCTCTCTCTCTCTCTCTCTCTCTCTCTCTCTCTCTCTCTCTCTCTCTATCTCTATCTCTCTCTCATACAAATCTCCTTCTCATTAATAAATTAATAAGTCCAGGATTCAGAAAAGTATTTGAGTCGTATTAAGATTCTACTTAGTCCGTGCTGGTGCTGGAATTAGATACAATCAATGCCTGAAGTCAGAAGCTCTCAGAACTTAAATGTTCAACTTGCTGCTAGATAACAGACCGGTGAGGGGTTTTGCCAAAGGGGGGGCCTTTTCACCTCCACCCTGGAGACGGAGCAGGAGCGCAAAGGGGAGTTTAAGGCTTGCTGGTGGAGACGCTTCCTGGGCAGAGCCCAAAGGGCTCAAGTCAGCAGCCGGCCCTGCAGATAATGCAACATGCAGTTTGACCCGGTGATCCCAACAGGTACAGAAGGGAGTTACATATTTAATTGTTGGTTCCACTCGCCTAACTTTCTTTTCTAATTAAGTTAGATTTGCTTTGTCATTAACTTGTTTCCCTGTTAATCCTTCTGCCTATGAATTATTCTTTATTAAATTTCAGCATTCTGCTTCCCACCAGAGCTTTCCTCTCTTAAATGCAGCTGTAGCCCACGGAGCCTCAGCGCTTTGGAGGCTGAAAAAGAAGACGGAACCTCCGGCTGAAGAGCAGATCTGCCTTCCGGAAGAGACACTCCACATCAGGGCTGAGTTCATACCATGCTGAGCTTGGCTAACCAGGGTTGAAAGAATAAATCACAATTTGCTGGAGTTAAAAACACGCTAAGCTATAACTGCCCTGTTTGAGAGATCCCACTAAATCAAGAAACCAGATTTTGGGTTTATGCACTGTGCAAATTCAGTTTATATTACATATAATATAACATTAAATTATAATTGCAGATTATAATAAGGATTTATAAATGGCACTATAGTATCTTCACCTTGTTCTCTTTTCCCCCCTTTCATTTGCTCAGCTATACATCTTTGCAAGTTTAGAAGTTCTTTAAATCTCCAACATAACATAACTGGCTGGAATATGGGAAAGATACAGAACAGCACAGACACTGACTAACTTAGAACAAATTGACTTTTATACAGGGCTTTTTTTCTCATAGAACGCCCAGAACGGAGTTCTGGCACCTTTTTTGGATGGAACCTTGTAGGGTAGGCAAGGCGGGTTGTATGACATGTGTGAGTTCCGGCACCTTTTGTTTTTTTTTTTTTTAGAAAAGAAGCACTGCTTTTATAACTAAAATGGGTTTGAAACAGGTTCACTTACTCCTATAAATTATCTGTATCCACTCAGTTACTAGACTACCCTGGCCCTAAAATTATTCCTAACCTTTATTGTTTGAAAGGAGAAGATATTCCCATATTTGGGAATGTATTTAAAAGTGGAACGTGGTAGAGGGTATTTTTTTTAAGGCTTCAAATGCATATTGGCAATCATACAGCTTTATCTGAACTGCTTTTTAGCTAGGTTTGACAAAGGATATGCTAACATACTAAAATTATTTTCAATAATTGTAAATGAAATGAAATGCAAAAGAATGCCTGCCTTCCATAGTCAGAAGGAGGCTGAGAGGACCCCTGCAGACCCCTCACATCCCGGACGTAAACTGTTTCAACTCCTCCCCTCGGGATGGCGCTACAGGGCGTGGTATGCCGAGACAACCAGATCCCTCTGCTGGTTTCTGGCCTCGACCTCTATATACCAACCTGACTTTCATCTTCACTCAGATAACGGGAAGTAATTTGAAAGCATGCAAACGCGAGTAGATAAACAGGTTCCACTTTGGTGGGAGGGGAGCAGCACTCCGTGCGCCTGTGGCATCTAGCCATGCTGGCCACGTGGCCACCGAAATGGCCTTCGGGTAATGTTGGCTCCCTTGGCCAAGAAAGCCGAGCATCGCCCCCCCTTCCCCTTGGCCCTGCCCCGGCTTCTCCAAGAAGAAGGCGGTGAAGGGTGGCCACGGCGGCAGTGATGGTGGAGAAACGCCCCTCCCCCCCAGCCCTGCCTTATGGGCCACCACCCACGTCTTCCTTCTGGGTTACTTCTGGGTTGTCGGCCGGAGGCAGGATGAATATTGCCTGTATCTGTTCTGTATCTTCGGTTTAAAGTCTATTTTGCTGTTTCCAGAAATGACAAAACTCCTAAAAATAAAATATGTTTTAATGATAGTTTTAAAAAGTAGTAGCCATACTGGGCATGAGAAATGAAAATCCAAAATCAGTGGAGGCAATACTTTTATTTGGCTTACTGAAGTGTTATAAAATTTGCAAGCTTTTGAAATCCAAGAGTTTTTCATCAGGCAAGATTAGTCCAAAAAAAAGGGGGGGGGCAACCGAACATAACATTGCTCTGTTTGTGAAAAGTCCCGATTGATCTCCTGCAGCGTCTCCCCATTCTCCCTCTGAGGCCATGAAGCCTTTCAGACCAGCTTGTCCTTTTGCCCTTCCCTTCAGACTATTGCATGGTGACTGAAAAAAATGGCTTAAAATAAGACACACGTGCACACACAGAGCTCTCGCAACTTAATGTTTTCTTAACAGGCAATAGTTATTCAAAGGGCTAAAAATAATGATCTATAGAGCTTTGCTTTGTTGGCAATCATATTCCTGGGATGTTCTTCTTTCAAACAACAGAAGGGAAATAGCAGTTTTTGTAGTGCTGACCCTCCCTTGCCCCCAGGCTCCTGAACTACAGAATGTGTGGCTGGTAAGATTCGCGCTTATTCCTGTCCAAGAAACCCTTGTCTGGAGAGCACTAGCCATTTCAGTTAGGCGTATAAGCAAACCGAAATAATATTTGAGGAGCCTTGCTTTCTGCCCCTGAGGAATCTCATCCAGGAAAGAAATGCTTCATAGGTACAAACAAGACTTTCATTGGGACAGTCAATGCTACAAAAACTGCTCTTTGCTTCAATTCAACATTTCTCTTGTTTGAAGGCAAAACATCCCAGAAATTTGGCCTGAATCTCTGAATGATCATAATGTGGAGCTCACCGCAACACCTGACTTAAGTTGTGACCTCCATGCCCAAAGGGACGATGCAGTCCAACTGCAGAAGACGTCTAGAGTCTTGGAAGCCCATTTTCCTGATCTGGGTGTAGGAAGGAGGCCAAAAGGGAAGTGGCAGAAGTTTGACAGTTTCAGCCTTCCAATCCTGTTTCCTGTGACGTATCTCATCTCCGTCTTTGGGGGGGAAACTAGGTTGGTTGATTATGTAAGGAATTTAAACAAGGACACTTGGAGGAGGGAACAGATCAGTGTTCTCCAGACTGCTTTCCATCTTACTAGTTTACCACTGGCAGAAAACTAAATCCAAAATCTTTAGAGATTTAAAGGAGGGGATTCTTTGGAGAAAAATACTTAAGGCCCAGTTCACAAGATGGTGATGTGAAATGGGCAGTTCTAGAATTTTCCTGTGTCCGTGTGTGAGTTTTCATAAAGTCTATATTAAAGTGACATAATAGAATTAGTGGATTCTATTTGCATAAAGTCTATTTCAACGTGATATAATGGAAGCTGTGGATTTCCTGTCTCAAAACAGCCAGAAACCTCACAACTGATTTTTGTCAATGGCCCCTGGAGGCTAGTAAGGGGGCCCAGGGCTACAGGGGTACCCCACCTCTGCTCTTTTCCCCCCTTAATTTTCAGCTTCATCGGGGCAGGTTGACCATCTCGTGTCCTCCTATAGGGTGGCTGACCACTGGCCATTCACAGGGAGGGAACACAGAGGTTAGCTGGATCCAGGCCTTGGCAGGCCTTTTTTTTTAGTAGTTTCACAAATGTACAGGGTTTTTTTTAAAAAAAAATGCTAGTTTCTTCTCCGCTGTGTTGCCCACAAAATAAGCAATAGAAAATAGAACTGTGAAATGTGGGCACATTTCATTTCAAATATATCAATCTGACCCAGTTCAATCCACCCAGTTTCAAAACCTGACGTTATACTCGTTTCTCTTCAGACCATATAAAACCTGATGTTTGAACTCAGAATTACGTTTTTGATCGTGAGGAACCGAGCCGTGAGGTACAAATACAGATCGCTCCCACCCAGCCCGTAGACAGTCAGGTCAAAGTATTTCTGTGTTGTACATCCGATGTACGGAATAGATTAGAATTCTTCAGAGTAAATAAAAAAGTGAATTCGCATTAGTATATTTTCTTATTCTACACTTGATCTAACAAAAAGGCCAGAAAGTGACGTTATTTTGTTATAATTGCTGTGCAAGTGGCAATCCTCACCTTTTGTGCTTTCAGGTATGCCTAGCAATTCTTCTAAAGCTACAGCAAAGACTCTGGCGGTGCACCTTCAACCGCAAACTCTTTGGCCGAAGCCTTCGTACCCTCCCCTGTCGGAGGGGCAGGGGAGCCTCTACCCTTTTCGGAGTTTGAGGGGGACCCATCGGCACTCTGGCTGTGAATATTGGGCAGGGGTGGGTCTGGGCAGAGCAGACCCTCCAAAGGCCCTGGGCAGGAGACCCTCAGTGGCTCACCTGAGGCCTTCACAAACACTCCGGGAAGCGTAGTGGATGATGGGAGGGTGGGAACAGAAGCCACCCTGGGTGGGAGAGTGCTGGGACCCCAGGCACAGGTGGGAAAGGAGACTTCTGAAGAAGGTGTTCGAGACAAGTTCCTTTTGGAGGAAGGAGCGGACACCTGGACATATCTACCGCTCTCCGGATCATAGAGCGTCTTTAACTGAAGAGGCAAATCTACCATAAAGTATTCCCCTGAATCCGGATCCTGAAGCAGCTTTCGCTGAGTGGCAGGCAAAGAGGGGGAGGGACTCGACGAGAGCAAAGGCCGATGCTTTATCGGACCACCTTTTGGGGCAGTCAAGGGAGAGTCAGGGCAGACGAGGGGCCGCAGAGATGGGGCTGGTGTCAGGCATGAAGCATCTTCATTCTGGGGCAAAGTTTCCTCCTGAAGCTTTTTCTGTTGAGCTTCCATCTTTTTCCTCCTACTTGCCAGCTTCTTTGCCCTCCGCAATGCCTTTTCTGTCTTGGGGGGCACCGTTGGGGGTTTGGCTGCTGTCCTTCCCATCTGACTCATCAGCTGGAGTCTTTCATTCGCCCCCAAAGGGCTGTCAGGATCTCCCGGGAGCTGATACGTTTGTTCTGGATCAAGTGTGGGTGTTGTGGAAGGTTTATCTATACTTCCTATTGCTTTGTGTAGTGGGAAATTTGCTACTTTTTCAGTGTGCGATATGTTTAAGTCTGCAGATATATCTGACAATGGACCTGTGGAAGCTGATGGCACCACAGTATCTGACCTTAGACTTTGTATGGTAGAACCGGCTGAATTACTCAACAAAGAAGATGTGCCTCCAAAGGCATCACTGGAAACAGGAGAACAAGCATGATTTTCTGTTACTGTGGGAGAGTTTACCTCTTGACTTATTATTTTTTTAATGCAAGGACCACCCCTTTGCCTAGAGAAGGCACGGCTCTTCGTATAAAATGTCCTTTCTCTTGTAGGGGACCTTTCCTCACTTTGTCTTGGCTCACTCTCAAAGTCCAGGTTTGGCTGAATGGCAGAACTGGGCCTCAACTTCCTAATTCTGATCTCCTCTTTGGAAATAGCTAATTTCTCGGGGCTTTTTAATTCTTTCTCCGATAACACTGATAAACAATCGGTTTCTTCAGAATCTGCCATCATAGAAAAATGATCTAATCCTTCACTAAAGCTATAATTTGCGGTTAGACTGCTTTTGTCAGCTACCTGAGAGCCCCTGTTCCCTTGAATAGACCCCCATCCTTCCTCCTCCTCCTCCCCCTCCCCCTCCCCCTCCCCCTCTCTGTCTGTCTTGGCATTCTTGGGGCTCTCCAGGGCGTTCGGAGCGGCTCCCTCACAGGACAAAGACCTGAGCAGAGGCAGCTTGATTGCTCTGGTCACAGGGGGCGACTTAAATGTGTTGTCTTTAATCGTGAACAGAGTGGGCTTCAACAGGCTTGACATGGCTGGCGTGAGGGGCTCTCCAGCCTTGCTTTCCGCCTTGCAGTCGGTGCTTCTCCAGCCGTCTTCTTCCTTCTCCTCCAACGCCACCTCTTGCGGGACATCCTCATGTTCATCCTTCCCCTTGTCTGTTTCATCCACAGCAGAACCACAGTTGCTGAGCAGGTGGTCATGCAGATCCTTTGTCTTGGCTTTCTCTCTCTCTTGGCGGCCCTGCTGCTCTTCTCCATCCACGCCATTCTGCCTTCTCTGGCTTTCTTGAAGACAGGCTTTCTGGAAGAGCTGCATCAGAGAACAGGGCGTCCCGTGGAAAGGCTGGCCTGCCATGGTAAAAACCGGTTGTTCAGAAGGGCCGGGGCTTCTTCTGCCCTGGGGGCCATTTTCAGTCGAGGAGCAGGCCTGGGTTCCGTTGTTGCTTCTGTTTCCTTCAGCTGGATAAAACAGATTTTTAGTTGATTCATCAGCATCTTGACCCAAAGTGACTTTTTCATATTTATGTTCCTGCCTGTCCTCCTGCTGTACGGCTGCCACCTCTGTCAGGAAAGGTTTGGATGAAGAAGCAGGCTGAGTTTTATTGTGTTCGTGCACAGAAATCACCTCAATGCCCTCTGGGTATACTGAATTACTTTGCTGCAAATGATTCTTATTTTGATACTTTAAAATACCTGCCCTTGACTTTGATAAGCTCAACATTACATCATCACTGATAAAATTCTCATTTAAACTGGTGAAATTGTCCTTTTCCTGAATGTAGTCCATTTGTTCAAATATATTAACTTTATCAACACCACCAAGTATGTCTTTATTGCTATAATCCAACACACTGGTTGCCATAACATCTGCTTTCAGGTGGGCCTGGCCTTTTAGCTTGTTTTTGTCCTCCAGGCCTCTTGGGAGAGGCGAGGGGCTGTAAGTGCTCTTCACGCGTTTTCGGATGTCCTTCAGGTTAAACAGTAAACGTGGTGCTTTAGACTTGTAATCATTCTGAGAGTAAAAGGCCCTCTCCTCAGCTTCTTTCGTTGCTGCAGCTTCCAATACGAATGGAGTCACCACTAATAGCCGGTTTCCCGGTGGTCCTTCGTTCTTCGGCTTCAGGTGTAGGGCCGGAGCCAGCAGGGCCGAGATGCCAAAGGAAGAGTCAGACAAAACCACAGGTGACTCAGCTGCAGATGTTTTGGCCAAAGGAGCGACCTCGGGTGACTTTCTGTACAGGGAATCTTTTATCTCTAACACTTCGGCTGCTCTGACTTCTGCCAGTTTCATTCTACTAAGAGTAGCCTTTTGTTTCCTCCAGGGTGGAGGGCAGCCACTTCCTACCCTAAGTGCAAAGTCTGGCTTGGTGGTTTTCTCTGCTAATATAGAAACATGTGGCGGTGGCGGTGTCAGTATTTCCTGCGCTTCGGTGGGCTGGAATGCTGCTTCTGGAGGGAGAGAGGTCTGAGGGAAAGAGGGCGGGGAGGCTGGCACCTTGGACACTGGAAATGGGGGGCCCATTCTTGGTGGGAAAAGCGTGCTAGAAGTCAGGGAGGCTGGAGAAGGACTCTCGTACACAGGTGCAAGTACCTGGGGCAACAGCTGTTGGGCAACAGCACTTTCTGCATCAGCCGGTGAGGGAAAACATACCCCTTCCAGAGGCACCGAAGGCAAGGAGGCCTTGGAGAGAGACTTTGGTGAAGGATCATTGGAGACGTTTTCTTCCATCATGAAGGCACCCATCGCTTTTGGCTCAGAAGCGCAAGGCTTCTTAAAGAAAGGCGTTTCCTCAAAGTAACCGAGGCTGCCATCTTTGGGCATCCTCTCTCCTATTTCAATTCGTTTTTTATGGTGTGCATTCCACGACTCAAAAGCGCTATTTTCGCTGTGGAGAAAGCTACTTTTTCTGGCTAGTTCTTTCGCTTTCCCAGTTCTGGTTTTCATCATCTTGTCAGAGATGCTGAACTTGGGTACATTCGAAGCCTTTGCCTGAGAAAGCTGAGAAACAGGCAGCCTCAGACAGGCCAGGTCTATTTTGCTGTGTCCTTTGCGCTGATTGCTGGGGCCTGCTACACTTGGACGCGGGTCTGGAAGTTCAGAGATCCCCGTTTGGATGTTTACAATTGTTCTGTCACTCCAGAAAGCCGTTTCGTCTCCACAAATTAACGGACACCCTGTCCAACCACTGCTTGCCGGCTGCTTGGCTATCAGTAGTGAGACCTGGTTGTCAACCTTATTAAAGGTCTTTATCAAAGAAGACACTTTTGAGATATGTGTACAGTTGTGCAGATCAGTCAGGGGCAAGTCTAGTTTTCTTCTTATGCTTGGGCTGATTAGAGAACACTTCTTGTCTTCGTGAGTTTTGCAGTTAGTAGAAACTTTTGAAAGTAGGAATGTTGCACGCTCCTTTTCTGACAGTTGCCTGTGGAAGGTGGTGTTTTTCTTGACGGCAGAATTCCAGGGACCGTGAAAGAATTTGCTAGAGAACTGGTGGGAGATGCCAGATGGCCCTATGGGGTCTGCTTCTGTGTAAGGGGTTTGAAGCTCAGCCACGCACAGACTTTTGAAAGCTCGGTCGGTGAGGCTGCACACTTCTCTGTCAGTGTCATCCAGCAGACTCCCAATGCTGGAGGAATCACTCTGTCCATCCCCGTGTTTCTTACTCCCCTGCATGGTCCATATGAGTCATTAATGAAATGGGTGGTTGACCTTCGGGGCTACCGTTTCTCAAGCATTTTTCACAACTTGGGGTTAACTTTTCTTCAATGAGCTGCAATTTTATATTCATTTCTCATAAGGAAGCACAAAGTGGAGCTTTCCAGTCTGCAAATTAAACATATATAAGTTTACATTATTGTATTACAATACAACGCAATTGCACATAACCCTTTTCTGTTTAATTCCCACTGATCCCCAATTTAATCTGATATTCTAGAATTACTTTGCATTAAAATATTTATATATTATATATATTAAAATATTTTTGAACTAGAACAGCCCCCAGAAAAATAATTAAGAAAGATCAAGAGTTTTTTAAAACTGTGCTGAAGCTTTCGTGACTCTCCTCTTTCTCCAGAAATTCTTTTAAAAAACCCGAATTTTCTTTTCCCCTCTGAAAATCTGAGCTGTATTGTTAGCAGTCTACCTGGCATGGCCTTGCGGGGTCTCTTTCTCATTTAGCTCAGCCATGGGGAGAACCCCAGCAGGGCGCAGAGCCCTGGAGGGCCTTTGCAGATTTCTATTTGTAATGTTATGCTACGCATTCGGTAATAGGAACCGCATCACGACTGAACAGTGACGATGTCACGTCTCCTCTGAATGTCTAATTTCCCCCTGGATGCTTGACCTCTTTCTTTGGCAAAAGTTATTTTCTTTGTGATTGACGTGCTCTGTGTATGATAAAAACCTCCATTCATGAGTCTGTGAAGTTTTGCACCTCAATTTGTTTTTCTTGCATAAAGAAATGTTCTGTCCTTAATTGTGTATTCTGAATAAGTTCCTTGGACTTGCTAGCAGTTGGGCTCTAACCTGGCAAGTCTTCCCAGGTGAATAAAAGCAAGATCTTGTGTGGCTGCCTGGGACAAGTTTGAAACTGTAATTCCTGGAGTGGACAGGACACTGAAATCTGCTAGGCGCTACCTGCTTACTCTGCTTTTCCTGGCTGGTGAAGGCCAATCTCCTGTTGGGTCCAGCCAGCAATATCTGCTTTGCTAAGAGAAGGGGGTGATACCACCAGCCTTGAGGGAGGCAGGGTGGCCTAACTCCTCAAAGGCTCTCACTGGACTTCATTTCACACCAAACGAGGTTACCAGGCAAGGTCATTTGTCAATTTGGGGTCAGTACATTGATTATACCCATTGTTCATCTTGACAGCAGGCCGGCCAAGTGGTGCCATCAAGGTCTTGACTTAGTGTCTGGAAGAACAGGGTCAAGGTCAACCTTTACAAGGTCAAGTGGCCATAGGGATGTAGGCCACCTGGATCTAGACCTGTTCCCCATTTAGCCTTCAAAAGGGTCGTATTTCCCCCTTTAGAACTGATGTACATCTGGAGGTCTTTGGGGATTCCTGCTTGATGAACAGTTGGCAGATGTGGCCAAGAAGGCCTTCAACAAATTCGTCTAGCGTACCAACTGTGCCCATAACTCTTAGGACATAGCTCTTTGGTCACCTCACATTTGGAGCCTTGCAGTAGACTGCAGTTGCTGAGGCTGCCCTTGACCACGTGGGAGACGAGCAGCAGGAAATGGCTGTGCCGTGCTAGGCCAACCTAACACCTCTGCTTTGGAAACCGCACGGCTCTTACTGGTAGACTCCTGGGCCCAATTTAAGGCACTGGTGATCATCTATACAGCCTTCCCCAGTTTAGGGGTTGATTATCTGGGGATTATCCCACTCCTCTGTAGTTTGTGCTATCCCACACGATCAGGAGAGATCAGCCTATCTGTGTCCTGTTGTTTTAACAGTGTCACACAAACACACCGTTAAGTGATTCTTAAAACGTGGCTCTTCCTCCAGACCTCGGGCAAGAGTGCATGTGTGAAATTACTGATCTGCTGTTATTTTTCCAGATGTTTGTTTATTTGTATTATGTATTACATTGATTAAAAAGGAATGATATGGGAGATGCAAAGAGAATAACACTTCATGAAAACATATTTTTTGCAATGTCCAAAAATTTTGGGGAAAAGTTATTACACGTATGAATTTGCCTCGGATATCAGGTTTAATATTTTCGAAACGAGACAGCTCTCAGGGCTGTGCTGTTTTGCAACAGGAAGGGGTCTTCGGTGTCCTCCTGGTTAGCCTTCAACACCGGAAAGATAAAAGATAAAACTATGGCCCCGGTTCCTCAGTGGATCGAAAACCTGATGTCACTTTGACTTACAAATGAGTTGGTTACAGAGGTAGATTATATATATATATATATATATATATATATATATATATATTATATATATGTATATATGTATATGTATATGTATATGTATGTATATGTATATGTATGTATGTATGTATGTATATATATATATATATATATATATATATATATATATATATATATATCTTTGGTTGTTCGGGTGCTGAAAACACCAGCCTGAAGATGACGAATGGGACTTCGTCGAAACGTCGCCAAGACACTTCCAATTTTACGCGGGAGAAAACCCGAACAACCAAAGACCTACATACAAACACCCGCGAAAACCTCAGAAAACAAATATATATATATATATATATAATTACAGTTACTATACTGCTGCGCCACCTCGGCTGAAAATGAGCCGAGATGGCGCAGCAGTTAAGAGTGCAGTACTGCAGGCCACTTTAGCTGACTGTGTTCAGCAGGTCAGCGGTTCAAATCTCACCGGCTCAAGGTTGACTCAGCCTTCCATCCTTCCGAGGTAGGTAAAATGAGGACCAAGATTGTTGGGGGCAATGTAAATATATATATGTACATTGCTTACTGGTGTACACCGCTTAGAGAGTGCTTGCACTTAAAGCGGTATGTAAGTCTCATAAATAAATAAATAAGTAAATATGCTCATCCTTTATTGAAATTGTTATACAAAAATTATTTTCATGCACAAGAAGTCACTACCTGCATAATTTTTATTGCACTGTTTTCTTTCTCTTGCTTTCCTTTCTCTTTCCTTTTGTTATTCTTTTTCCTTTGTTCTCTTTTATAAAAGCAAAATAAATAAAAAAAAACAAGCCCACCCTGCAACATGGGATGCATCACGAATCTCCATTATCTCCTTTAATATTTAATTGGTGCTAGAGCCCCCGGAGTGATTAATAAGATAAACTGGTGATACCCAGGAAAAGCACTGGCCTGAACTGGAATACAAATTGTCCCTATATTCATGTGGTATTTGGGTGCTTCTTAAATATTATATTTGTTGAAATTGTATAGTTATATGGAAAATATGCCAAGTATACAAAAAAATCAAACATCATGCCTATTGGCAATAAGGTTCATAAAGATGTGAATTTCGCATTGGTTTTTTGTTCAAATCTATTAAATTGTGATTTTAATTCCTATGAATTACAGTTTTAGAAGATATAAACAATTTAAACTATACTGGCCAGATGAAAGCAGACACAGAGAGATAGATGCAGAAGCACCTATGCTTGTAGGAAAGAGCAAACATTAAAATATAGGTCTGTCTCTGTCTCTATATCTATTTTATTTGTTAATCACATTTATATGGTCACCTATCTCACAAAAAGTGACTCTGAGTGACTTTAATAAAACAACAAATACATATATAAATCATTGTAAAAATATTTTCAGAACGTTACCAGCTTGATTCCACTTCAATGTTTTTAGCTGCCTGGCAAATTAATGATTATTTTGTAATGGAAAGAGCAAAAGGCCGGCCTTCTCTCTTCTGGCCAGCTTTGGTTTCAGCTTTAGTAAGGACAGAAATGCTGACTGACTGGGGAGTCCTGGGGGTTGAAGTCAACAAGTCTTAAAACTGCCCTAGTTACCTTGTTTCTCCCTATTTTCAAAATATTTTTGTTTTAGATTTTTTTTGCTTCTATAAAACCAATTAAATCAATATTGTTCTTTATCTATCATTAACTATACATATGTGCTTACTAACCACTGTTCTTTTACTTATATCATTCCTTTTATCAATCTGTTTATACCTTATTTTTCCTTCAAAATACTAGTACTGTAAGAAACTCACTGCCATTCTAAGGCTTTCAAGTGGTTTTAATATTTCTTGCAATAATATAGCACATTTACAAGGATTGAATACGCTATTGAAATCATCTGTCATTACCATTTCCTAGCTGTTTTTATTTCCTTAATCAGGTTAATTAAAAGTTGGTGATAGATCTGGTGCATAAAGTGATAGCATTGCTGCAACAAGAGAATAATCTGTAATTGTTACTTATAAAACATTTTTATTGGATACTGGCACTGCAGAGAATGTTTCACAAGAAATGACTTTTCTGGCTACAGGAAATGGGGTTGAGAATATGAATGCTTACATATGCCTCCTGTTTTTCCCTTTTAGTCTGAATTTAAAAGGACTTTGCCAAGGTGACATTTTCATTTATTTTCTCTGAGTCGTATCTCCTCTTAACTACAGAAGACACAGTAGGTTGGACTGGAGAGAAGTGAACTTTTGTGGAGAGGGCAGACGGGGTCGTTCCAGCACCTCTACCTCCTGGAGGAATCTGGTTAAGAATATGCATGCACCCCTTACTGTGTGGCTTTAAACACATTTCAAAAATTATTTTTAAAAATGATAGCCTGCATTTCTGCTTATTCCAAATACCAAAAGTAGCTCACAACAGTAAAAATGCAGAGTATTTAAAAAAACCAAAATGAATGCAGTTAAATAAATCATTAAATGAATTAACAATTAAAAGCTTGGTCCCAAAAATATTGCCACATTTTGGATAAATAGGGGCGAAACTTCCTCCATAGGGAGCACCTTCCCACAGCCGGGAGTGATGTAGGGCAAGGCCCTCCTCCGTGACACTTGAGCTTCCGGCAAGGAGCCTCTCTCCAACCTCTCCCAATGATCTAACCAGGGAGGTTCATAGCAAGAGTGGCTTCTGCCCAAATGAGCAGCCCCCGAGCCCTTTAGAGGACAAAACCAGCATCTTAAATTGGCCAGGTAGAAGTTGGTACCCAGTGCCGATCTTTCACTGCAGGCCTCCTACAATTCCTGTCCCTTGTTCCTTCCATTCAGGAGCCTGGCGTTTGCACTTTTTGCCGCGTCTTGTACTTGGAGTCCCGCTGTAGGGCTTATAGTTTATGTAAAGGCCCGGGTGCAAACCGCTTCAAACCCGGTGCCAGCAGGGGATCCAGGAAGGCTCCCAAGGTTTTGGAGTCTTTCTGGGCAAATGCAACCCCATCCGGAAGAAACTTCACCTCAGGCCCAAAGTGCAGTGACCTCAGACTTGCCTTGATTTAACCTGACTCGTACTCCTCCAATTAATTATCGCTCCTTACTGAGATCAGGAAACATTGAAAGGTACTGACGGTGTCTTCAGAGCTGGGCAGCAGGGAGCAGCAGAGCTCAGGGTCATAAGCAGATATGGCTTCCTACTCTAAGTTCGGAATTACCTCCCTGGGCAGCTGGTGATGGAGCACAGAAGAAGACAAGGACCAGGACGTTGAACAGTGGACCTCTGGCACCACCTTCTGGGGAAGTCCCAGCAGGAAGGGCCAGAACTCCTGCAGAAGAGTGACTCAACCTAATCACTCCGGCAACTGACCTGGAAAGATGACAGGGCACCGAAAGCTGCTGAGAAGTTCAGAAGAACTATCTGTTTTCCCATGCGAATCATCTGCCAAAACAATCATTTCATCCTGAACAAAACCTTGCTTGAAATTGGCTCAGAAACAGTTTCATCCAGATGTACCTGGGCCTAAGAGGTCACCCCTTCCTCAATCAATTTACTCCAAAATACTTAATACTAGTTTTTAGTTAGATGGAAATTCCAATTTAACGCATAGCACATTTATACGGGAAATATTGTATACAGTGGCCATCGTTGAAAAAGGATATAATAGAGCAGGAAAAGGTGCAGCAGAGGCCTAGCAAAACAGTCAGGGGGTCAAACAATTTCCCCACGAGAAAAGGACGCCCTCTTTAGCTTGGACCTGGGTGGGGATGAACCTGGGGTGTATAAAATCAGGCATGGCCAAGGGGACGGGGAGACAAAACCAGGGGCAGGAGACATCTGGTGATGCTGAACTGGAAGAAGAATTTGAACAGACGGGGTGGGGGGGGAGAGGGGAAGGAAGGAAGAATTCTCTGGGTGGGCTACTACCTTGGCTTTGTAAAAAGTATCCTCTGAGACTTCCTGAGCAGGTTGTCTCGCCGGCTTTTGGGGCCATGCTTCAAGGAGTCGTGGCGACACGTGTGATGCCCGGTCTTTGGCCTCGAAGATGAATTCCGCTCCAAGTCTGATATGCTCCTCCTAGTTTTATTCCTTTGCCTTATAAATCAATTTACATCCTCAAATGTAAATTAAATGCAATTTCCTTTTAGGAAGGAATCCTTCAGTCTTAAATTATTGACCGGTTGGAAAAGATGCTTTAATTTCCCACACTTTCAGCACGACCACTGAGCATTTGTTTTAGGTTCAGTCTTTCTTTACGGACAACTTTCAGATACATTTGAAGTTGGGGAAATTCATGTGACTTTTTAGGTTACAGCATCATTTGTTAACATCGTTTGATTTTAATGAAGTAAGCCTTAGGCAATGTTATGTTTGTGCCCAGGTTGTTCTTACCTGTTGCGTTAACAGACACTACAGAAGTTTTGATCTTCTCATATTCTGATTGCCCCTTTGATGCTCACCAGTCAGGATGAGTGGAAATTATTTTTTGGGAAAGCCTTTCCACGCTACATATTTCATTATGTTTTGTAGATTATTTCAGTCTGTGAATGAATAAACAAGGAAAAGAAATAAATGAAGTTGTAGGAAATAAGGCTCATTATTAAACATATGTTCATTATTGTTCTCATCCTGCTTTGATTGCCAGCAACAATTCTATTTTCTTGAGTTGTCAATGTGTCTGAGCTTCTTTTTTAAAGACACAGCTCCTCAAAGGATGCCAGTTTCGCATAAAAGTCCCATCAACTCCCCAAAGCTGTTTTGCAAAGCAACATGGCCGCCACAGGAAGCCTCAGAAGATGCAGCCACGTCTCTTGCTGTGGCCTGGATCGGTTCCTCAGCCTCTACACGTGGTTGCCAAAGCCAGAGCTTTCTACCCAGCAGTGCTCTCCTCTCAGAAGCTCTGGCCCTGGCAAAGGTTGGGAAAGTGACACTAAAGTAATGTGTGGATGTATAGTGTTGGAGCCACGCATTGCTCAATGAGAACTAAGACCAGAGACTGGAGACAACCTGCACGGCAATTGCCTCTCCTGGGAGTCTTATGAATCTCCCTGTAATTAACTTATTCTTTTTTTAAAAGAGGAGGAAGAAGAGGGAGGGAAGAAGGAAGGAGGAAGAGAAATAACAGAAAAGAAACCAGGGACTCAGAAGAGTTGTTCTGTACTTTTAGAAGATTTTTAGTTTCCAAACTAGTAAAAGGAAGCCACAGCGACATCAGGAGTGAGAAGTTCAGAAGACTCATTGTGCATGCAAGAGATCCCCCTGCAAACTAGGCTTTGTGCCCAGGGTTGTCCCATGTTCCAAACAGCAGCCCCCCCCCCACCACCACCACAGCAATCTCAAGTCATGGCCGTAGACCAGCATAGGCCAGTTCAGAGCACAGCTTAGACCAGTGGTTCTCAACCTGTGGGTCGGGACCCCATTTGGGGTCGAATGACCATTTCACGGGGGTCGCCAAACAAGACTGTCCGCCATTTTTTCCCCCTTTTCTTTGGCCATGCCCCTGGCACCCGGTGATGTATAAGTGGTTGGGGGTCACCACAACATGGAGAATTGTATTATGGGGTCGCGGCATTAGAAAGGTTGAGAACCACTGGCTTAGACTCTCAATACCAACCGCATCTACTGCACAAACGATGCCCCGGGGGCTGCTGATCAGATTGCAGAGCTCTTTCAGTTTTGGAAACAGAGTGTGGGCGGGTGGGCAGCTCAGATATGGGGACCATCCTAGGCAGTACTGGGTTGGGTTAGGCAAATCTGACTGTGCGTCCCCTGGGAAAGCTGAACGGGGTTCCGCAGGCTGTGTGTCTGTTCCACCATGAAAGGACAATGGTGGTTTCACAGGACACCTGGAGGCATCTCCCTTTGTAGCTACTAAATGTTGGGGGATTGATAGATGTCCATCTCTAGGTAACAAAGGTGAAGGGTCATGGCATCAAAGCTCCATCCTTCGTTAGGCAGCCTCCTTTTCCTGGCCAAGGGCCAGACAGCCTTCCTCCGCTTTGCCTTCCTTTTGGATCTCTTAATGAAGTTTATTACAGTTCCTGGTTGATTGCAGTGAATTCTGCTTCTACAGAAACCATGAAAGAAACGCCTGTGACTGTACAAACAGCGAAACGAAAATTGCGGTGTAACTTCTTGGCCCATCTTAATCCCAGATTTTTGTTTCCGATGCTTCTGAGATACTTGCCTGTGCGGGACTCACCCCCAAGTCACTTTTCTTGATAAGAGTCCATGACATGCATGCATGCCGTTGGTGCAGGAATAATTACTAGCAATGGCTGCTGTGTGAAGAGACCTTATTAATTCGGATTCCCTAAATTCACTAAAGCAGTCCAGCTCTTCCCAGGCTTCTGCACATCCAAAATACCGATCTAAGAAAAAAAAATCTTACTGAAAGTAAATATGGGCGCATCAACCTTCTTTGCCTCTTGTTCATGTGGAAGTTGGAGGCAAATGACTGGAATAGAAATAAGAGAGCATCTCGGTTGAATTTAGAATTTGGGGCCTGGGTGATCAAGTTGAGACCATCCTTCACAAACTGATTTACCCCAGGGCTGTGGAAGAGGGTCCTGGATGGATCTTGTTTCTGCGCCAAATGTAACAAGACACCGTGTGTGACAGCCAACCACTTTAAAGCTTAGGAGGGCTTATAGTCAAGAATACACAGGAGGATACATAAAAGCAGATCCTTTCATTCACAGCCCTGGAGAAAAAGAAGCAGAGATGCTCTCCAGAACAATTGTCACAAAGTCCACCCGGCAGCAGCTCTTTGACCAATCACGTTCTCTGTCAGTCCAAATTCCCTCAATGGGGAGGTTGTTGTGGGGAAATATTGAGGTCCTGAAGGACAGGCAGAATATAAATCTAACAAATAAATCAATACAATATTGGTAAACAGCCCCAATAGAGACATTGTAATTTTGCTTTGGGAACAGAAATGTCCTTCTCAAAACTGTCAAGGTCTTCTCGTCATCTCTGAGTTGAACTAAAGTTTTCTTTCTAAGTACACTCACAGTAAGCAGGTACTGAAAATATCATACAGTTGATTTGGAAATGTATCTCCGTTAAGATTTCTTTTTGGAGAATCGTGTGCCAAATCTTGATTGTTGTCTCTGCCAGGAAATTTCTGTTTAGGACCAGGTAGGCTCTCTGCTTCTTGTCCTGCCCTCAGGGGCTTTGGAGAAGAGATGGACCCCCCTTTCTCTCTGACAGCCCTTCAGGTATTGGAAAGCTGTATCATGTCCCTCCACATTCTTCCCTTCGGTAGGCCAGACACACAGGGTTCCCTTAACCGGGCATCGCACAGTTCAGCCTTGATCACCTTTTGGCTCTTCTCTGCACTTTTCCCAAGATCTCAGCATCTTTTTGACTACTTAAGCGTCTTGTCCACTCGAGGCTCATGGAACATTCAAGCCCCAACCACTCGGAATACTTCCCAAAAGTAATTTTCAGCAGATGTAACAGGGACGAAGACCAGCTCCCACTCCCTCCCCCCCTTTTTTTCCTGCTCTCTGTTCCCCAGTGTAGACTTTCCACGGGGGGGGGGGGGGGCTCAGCCACATCCACCTTGGACTTTTGCCTCCAGCACTTCAGGCATCTGCCAGCCAGTTTCAGTGCCTGAACTTGCTCAGTAAACCAGCGACCTGTGAGCTTGACAAGCTGACAGAGCTTACCCTGCAGCAAAGGAGGGTGGGAGCATGGGGAAGCTGGACCTCCCAGCCTGGCCCCAAAGCCTCAAAGGGGAGTTTGGCACAATAGAAACCAACCCACTAGAAAATTCTGAAACTCCACCGGTTCCAAAAGACCCAATCCCAAAACGAAGCCAGGGCCCCTGTGGGAAAAGGTTAGGGTTGAGCCAACCTTTTAACCTAACCAGATGGTGATCCATCCATGACAGAGAATGAGTTCTGATCTCTCAACAGAGGTTTCCCAGGTAAAAGACCAGGTGCAGATAATAATAGCCGAAAGTCACAGTTGCCGTGACCGCGTAGCAGCTCCAGGGGAGACTGGACCAAGTGTGACTGTGCTGGACCAGTCAGTTAGCTTAAGAACTGTGTTAGAGTATTTGGCATTTACAGGGTTAATGTTGTATCATTGAGAGAACATATAGCATTTAAAGTGTTAAACACTGTTTCCTTAAGAGATGGCTTATGGGTAATGTAGTTTCAGTTGTTAGTTAATACTATAGCTTATCTAGTTAAGTGGGGGGAGTTTAAAGTTATTGCAAGACTTCCTGGCTTTGTGCCATTGTATCATCTCTCTGCATGGATTCCTGGTGGCAAGGCTAGAAGCTCTGTGCCAGCATGTAACTTTTACGCAGGATGGAGGAATCCATTATCCCTTTACCTATGGGAATGAACAATACCCTAACGACCAGACCTATCTTCTGCACAGTAAGTTTCAGCTAAGAATTCCTGGACAATAAATATTGTTTTAAAATTGTTCTCATTGAGTTTAATAGTAGTAGTAGTAGTAGTAGTAGTAGTAGTAGTAGTAAAGTTGGAAGGGACCTTGGAGGTCATCTAGTCCAACCCCCTGCTCAGGCAGAAAACCCTACACCATTTCGGACAAATGGCTGTCCAGTCTCTTCTTAAAAACTTCCAGTGTTGGAGCATTTACTGCTTCTGGAGGCAAGCTGTTCCACTGATTAATTGTTCTCACTGTCAGGAAGTTTCTCCTTAGTTCTAGGGTGCTTCTCTCCTTGATTAGTTTCCACCCGTTGCTTCTTGTCCTGTCTTCAGGTGTTTTGGAAAATAGCTTAATTCCCTCTTCTTTATGGCAGCCCCTGAGATATTGGAATACTGCTATCATGTCCCCCCTTGTCCTTCTCTTCGTTAAACTAGACATACCCAATTCTCGCAACCGTTCCTTATATGTTTTAGCCTCCAGTCCCCTAAGCATCTTTGTTGCTCTTCTCTGTACTCTTTCTAGAGTCTCAACATCTTTTTTACATCGTGGTGACCAAAACTGGATACAGTATTCCAAGTGTGGCCTTACCAAGGCATTGTAGAGTGGTATTAATACTTCACGTGATCTTGATTCTATCCCTCTGTTAATGCAGCCTAGCACTGTGTTGGTCTTTTTGGCAGCTGCAGCACACGGCTGGCTCCTATTTAAGAGATTGTCTACTAGGACTCCGAGATCCCTCTCACAGTTGCTACTCTTGAGCGAGGTACCCCCTACACTATACCTGTGCATTTGGTTTTTCTCGCCTAAATGTAGAACCTTGCTTTTTTCACCATTGAATTTTATTTTGTTAGTTAGTGCCCAGTGTTCAAGTCTGTCCAGATCCTTCTGTATCTTAAGCCTGTCCGGACCAGAACTACAAAGCATCTTAGTCCATGGTTCCGGAATAGTGACCCTGAACCCCGTCTCCGAGACCAGTTCCTCCAATTCAGACAATGAAACTGCTGGATAGCAGAGCATGTAGTGAAACATCAGAAACCCTTAAATCTGTCCAGGGATGGGTGGAATCTCACCAAGGGCAGGGAAGTCTCGTCTCTGCTCCCGAATGCATAAATCTACAATGTCTTCTGTGCTACAATTCTTACATTAACTATATTTGTGCACACATTTGAAATGTTTGCCTTTCACATCCTTCAGGTATGGAGGTTTCTTTGGAACCACCTGTTTGAGATCAAAAAGTGAAGCAGTTTGCACCTGGTTCTTCCACACCCAATGTAATCACTATGACATTTTTGTTTTTCTAATACATTTTTGAATAAAAATGGGAAGTGCTGACTAGCTGAATATGACATGAATCTAGCTGACTCTTGCTAATCAAAACAGGAGACTTGAAAACTTCTTGCTTAGCCATTTTGGGTACCTTCACTTGGTGAACACATGAAGAGTGGTTGATGGAAGTTATGCTTCGTGTGCTATAATTATTTTTCTAACACCTGATACACCCTCCACATAGAGTAGAAGGTCAGTCCTGCAGCACCTCGGCAAGGCTGCTGGCGATGATACAGCCGGGACAGGGATCCGTGTATCTCTCAGCGACAACCTACATCCACTGTGGGCACAGCCCTCCCCGGTTGGAGGTGTGGGCTGCATCTGACAGACACCTTGGCTGGGGTTGCGGCTGGGTAAAAATAAATCTCCCCTCCACTTGACCCTTAAACGCTGGCCGCTGTAACTCCTTTCAGGTAAATAGCCTGGAGACAGACCAGAGAGTTCTGACTTAGGAGCGGCCCAAGACAGAACATGGGGGGGGGGTGGCGGCGGGTGGAGATCCGCCCCATCAGACTGTACACAGCGGAATCTCTATTCTTGTCCTGCCAGAAAATGTAATACTTTTAAAACAGATCAATTTGTAATTTCTGAATGTCACACTGCCTTTTGTCTGCTGTATTTCAATTGTTGACTCTCACCTGGCAAAATGAAAATAAATCCTTAATGATGAGAGAAATTTCCCTTGAGGAACTGGGGACTATTTGCTCCCTGCCTCCTTACGCAGGGCTGGGGGTTGTGGAGGAAGAACACCACCCTAACCCCTCATGCATCCCCTGTGGGGGGGGGAGACCCCCTTGGCAGTGGCTCAGCACCTTGCCTGCTCTTTCCACCCCTCTCTCTTTCTTCCCAGTCACCTGACCTGAGTAGAGCAATTTTAAAGAGATTGAAAGGATTCCCCCCCCCCCGGGTCCTGCTCGGTCTGCTTTCCCTAACTTATTACATACACCGTAATAATGTCCCACGAGCAAATTCTCCTCAGTGGGCCTGATGGCCAACATCCCAGCTCATGGCCAGCAACTTTCTCTGGTCAGGGGAAACGAGACTATCTGCAGACGCAGGCCGGTTTGCACAATACAGCAGCAGTTTACAAGCATCACTTTCCTTTTTCTCCATGTAGCTGGTAGTAGGGTCACTTCATATTTTGGGCAATTTTGAGCAAAAATGGTTTTCTGGAGGCCTGCAGGATAGAGACACCAACCATGGCCCAGTTGTCAAGGTCCCCAGTAAAAACAAATGGTGTCCCTTACTGTCCCGAAAAGGAACTCCACATTTTAACAGGAATAAGGAACGCTTCCCTGCAGCCGAGAGCAAGGCAAAGCACACGGAGGGAGGGAGGGAGGGCGGTGGCAGCTCTGCTGTTCTTTAGAAGCAAGGATGGCAGCCTTGCCCTGCCATCGCCCAGCTCTGAGCCCCAGTTTCCCTCCTCAAGCCCGGTTCATATTTCCCTCTTTCCCTCCCTCCGTCCATAAAGTTCCTTTTGCCAGGTGATGGAAGTTTCAAGATATCCAACATTTACTTGGATTTCCTAAACTTAACTGAGTCAGACTCCCGATTAAGAGGCCGCAGCATGGCTCTCCCTCCCTTTCCTAATAGGTCTTCAAGTTACAGCTGGGTCATGCAACTGTCAAACTTTTTTAGCTGGTGTGACTTGCATTTAAGTAGCCCACCCTGGAGCAACAAAAGTCTTTTTTTTCCCCCCCGAGTGTGGAAAGGAGGAGCGGTTGGCTAGAAAGCCAGAGGGGGCAGAAGGGGGGGGGGTCGATGAAGAAAAGGGGCCCTTTTCTGCAGATCTCTTGGACGGCAGCCCATCTGCCTCCCTGACCTGCGTGTAGATCGCAAAGCGCGTCCCCGCCGTCGCTGGTGGGCTTCCCTTTCTCTCCCGGTGTGGCCAAGGCTGCTCATCCTCCGCAACTTTTGAGATGCGGGCCCTTCAATTCCCAGCATTCCCCAGCCGGCCCTTCTGGGAACGGAGGTGCGCGTGTCCCAAAGTCACCAAGGCTGAGAAAGGCCGGCCTGAGCAAAGGAGGCTGAAGGGCAAAGGGGGGGGGAGGCGCCCTGCGTCTTTCGCGCCCCCTCCCGCCCAGCCAGACGCACCCAAGGACTGGGGGGAGGGGGGGGAACGAAAGAGCCTTTTGGAGAGGGAGGGGCGGAGGGGAGGGGAGGAAGGCAGAGAGCGGCCGGATCGCGACGGAGCAGAAAGGCGGGGACGAGGCGGGGAAGGGGACGAGGCCGAAGCGCCACGCAGGACAGACGGCACCCGAGGACTACTCGGCTCTTGCCAGGAGCAGCCTCTCCCCTCCCCTCCAGCAAGGGGGCCCTGTGGGCGGGGGGCTCCCCTTCGGATAAACTGGATAAGTGAAGCCCCCGCCCCTCTCTCCGCCGCCGAAATTGGTCCTGCTTGGAAAGGGGAGGGGGGTCGGCGGAGACGTCGGGAGCAGGGGCGCCCCCCCCCTTTCTGCCTCTCTGGGGGGGAAGGGCGGGGGCCGTTCTGGCCGCGGGGGGCTCCGGCTTAACTGGCCCCTGCCTTCTGGGGAAGGTTGGAAAGCTCGGGGACCGGACTAGACCACCTCCAAGGTCCCTCTGAGTCCTCCAAGCTGGGGGGAGAGCCGAGGCGGTGGGCGGGCCAGGCGAGGGAAGCCAGGACTGGGCGGCTGCCGGAGAGAGAGACGGTCTCGGAAGGGCCCGGGACCGGCAGCCCGCGGAGGCGGAAAAACGCGGAGCCCGATCCCGTCCGAGGCGCCGCGCTTGACCCCGGGGGGGGGGGTCGTCCCTGCGGGTGATGAATGAGCGGCCCTCCTGGTGGGACGAGAGACTCCGGCACCCCCGCCGGCCCCTTTGGCGGGAGGAGGGGGAGCACCCCCCCCCAGAAGAACTCTAACCCTCCGCAGGGGCAGCTTTCCGTCCCTTCCTCCTGAGGCTGTTTCCCTGCCCTCGAACGAGGACGGTCCCTCCGGGTGGGCTCCAGGCCTGGAGCGGGGCAGAAGAGCTCACCTGGGCGGAAAGCAGAAGGAGGAAGAATTTACAATAGATCAAGAGGCTGGTAGTTACTTCAAGAGAGAGAGAAAGAGAATCAGAATAAGACAAGATGCAAAAAAAAAATAATATTAGAATGGATTTCTTGTAATTAATTGTAATGAATTAAACGAAAAGTTGATAATCTAGGCATTTGGGGAATGGTTGACACCAGCGCAGTACTTTATAATTCTGATAGTCCTCGCTCAGCAACCAAAGGATGGCAATTAGGTCATTAAGCAAAGCAATCACTAAGTTGCTAAAAGAAACAGTTGGGGGGGGGGATTGCACATATCAGAAGGTCAATGGACTCCGTTTATTATAGCCTTGGTATTAGTTCAGTCCTGATGTAGAAGCTGTTTAAGTGTCACCAGGAGAATGAAAATGGCGCCGCGTGGAGAGAGGGCAACTGGAGAAAGCACAGAAGAGCAGAGGGGAGAACTCGATAGACAAAAATGGAAGGAGCCTGGGCCGTAAGACGGCTCCAGCCTCACCCTCGGGGCTGTCACGGAATCCCATGACAAAGAAATAAAGGGATAAAGGTAGAAACAGAAGACTATAAAAATGGTGAGATTAAACAATGGAGAAGAACCAAAGGAAATGACTGCCTAACTTAAGAAAAGGCCAAAAAATGAAGTAGAGGACGTAGAACGGGCCAAGGCCCCAAGGACGCTCCTTGCGCTCAGGCGCACAGACCCAAAGTGCACTGGTGATGTTACCCAGTTGGGTCATGAAACGTCTGCAAGCAAAGAACCAAAGTCGGAGAGCCCCACGGACTCTATTGGGAATTACAGATGCTCTCTTCCAGGGTCTTATTCATTCCTGATTTTAGGCCCAGCCGTGTTCTAGGCCTGGCATTCAGTTAAATAAACTCTAATCCATGAAGTTTTATTTATAATTCTAATGAACCTGTTGCTGTTCAATGCAGTTCCTCAATGCTGGCTGAATTTGTGGCAGTTGTGCTCTTTTTATCGATCCCCCAGCAGTTCTGGCCAATGTGGGCAAAAATGGTGATATTTTAACTGACAATCCATTAGCCAAGTGGGAAAAAAGCCAGTTCCAGCTGCCTTCAGGATAGGGGACAAAGAGCAGAGAGATCGTCAGCAAGCAATCGCCCTCCGAAAGGAGATGGGGAGATGGGGAGAGGTGCAAAGCGTGGCCTCCGGACTTCCCCCCCCCATCCGTGGCCACGGGAGGCATCCTACATTTTCTTCTGTATTGTAGAATAAGAGGTTGTGTCTGTGTGCAGGTGGGCTTTTCTCCCAAGTCCACCATCAGGGTATGTGCAGGTGCGTTTCCTGTGAAGCTGCGGTAGAGGCTTACACAATGCCTCTCTGTGTGCACGTGTCCATTTCTCTCTCTGCGTTGTGCTTGTGTTTTTGTGTGTGGTGTATGCTGAGCACAGAGTGGCACGGAGGAAGGAGGCTTAGAGCAGGAGAGTTCAACGGCTTCTCCCGTGGGGATCTTCAGCGTCCTCAACAAGCATGTTTTCAAACTCCTTGGTTTTGAGGGGGGGCAATTTAAGCAGAGAAAAATTGCTCCCATTCTGTTCAGCTTTCTGACAGCAATTCTGCTGATGGGGAGAGTCCTGAGTCCCGTTGTGTAATTTTTTCCCATCATTCTCTTGGGTTGAAAAGAATAATAAATGGCTTCCTCACCATTTTTGCTTATCAATCATAGGATTAAAAAGAAGAGTCCATGGCTTGGTCAGAAAAAATGGAGAGGTCAACAGACCTGAGTCACAATAACAACTTCCTGCAATGTGGTCTGTGACAAGCTCCAACGTGACAAGCCAACATGCCTGTGAGAAGGGCCTGCAGTGTCACCTTGCAAACTCTGGTTCTCTCTGCAGGAGCCTCTGGCACAGTGGAGATGAAAGTACGCAACCTGAGTCAGGAGGTTCTTCCCAGGAAGCAGATAAGAAACTCGGATTCTTGATATGGTTCAGACCTGTGCCTACATTCATAGGACACCCTGAACCACAAAATAGCCAGACATGTTTTATCTTAGTTTATATAAAAACTCAGCCCTCTTGGTCATTTATGACTTAAGGGGTCTTGTAGATGTTGAGTATTGAGTTAATTGAATAAACAATGGTTTAATTGTAAGCATGGCCCGTAACACAACTTACAATTTACTCCTTGCACTTTATGCTCTAGAGATTTATGATAAAAAATGAAAATATAAACTGAAAATTTACTTAATAGATAGAAACTGTGTTGGAAAATAACATAGCCCCAAAAGAAACATTTGACACAGTTATAATATCCTCTTTCGTTCCGGCTATAATCATCGCCAACAGTTAAGAATCCGAAGTCTTTGTGCGTGTGTGAAAAGTTACACAGAGGAATGAGTACATTCCAACTTTCAGTCGTGCACGATATGTGACTAACCTTAATCTGCTCTCTGGGCTTCCATCCAGAAAGGAGAAACGCCTGGAGAGCCAGAGCTGAGGGGAAAGGATGGTTGGAAAAGGGGGCCACCTTGGTTCTGGGGATGAGCAAAGCTGTGCCCTGCTGCGTTTTAAGAAAGCGAGCAAACCAGGATGAGTGGGGAGAAGGACCAGTAGAAGCTTCTGGGAAAAGTGCAGATGCTTCTCTGTTTTGTAGAATTGCATGCAAGAAAGATGTAGAAAGATGATGAGAAACTGGGGAATCACAAAGAAAAGAGGATCCAATAGAGAACCAGGAAAGTTACATGCTGTTGGATGTATGGAACGCAGCTTTGTAATTTGGGACAGGAGGCAAAACACCTTGAGGCAGAATATCTCAAGTCCAGTAGAACATAATTTATTGGCTGCAAGCAATTCGCCAAGATCCAACGCGAATCCAAGCAAGTTTGTTCGCTCTGTGAAACCAGGACTCCCTTCCTGCTCCCTGGATTGGTGGTCCTCCTCCGAGGAGGGCCCCACCTCACCCCTGAGGGCAGCCACTGGGTGGCCCCAGGGGTTCTCCACCGGAGTCCTGATATTCCCCATCTAGGGAGCTAAACTCGGTCCTCTTTGGCCCAGCAGGTGGGCTGCAAAACTTCTTTTGTTCCTAAAGCCAGCTCCTTGGTATTTTAAGATTGTTCTGTTCTGCTTTAAATTGGTAGTTTTGAGATGGTTCTTAAAATTGTATATGGCCTTGGGGGATGAGAGGCAATTAAAATATTTTATTCAGTACTTTTTATTTGTCTCAGTCCTACTCTTTTCATTTATTGCTGTTATAAACCTTTACTTGGTTTTCTCCTGTGTTAGCCAAACTTAAAGATTTGTATGCCCACCTCTGTAGACTAGATATCCTTAGGGTGCCAGCACAAACAAACAAAAAGCCCCAGCAACAGCCCCAAGCCCAGTTTGCAGTGTTTAAATTTGGGCCCCGGGAGATTGGTCTCAGATTTGTGGATGGTGCCGGGTTCAGCACCTGCCACCCTCCCTCCCTCCCTCGTCTTACTCCGCATGGGGTCACTTTCTCATGGAAAGAGACAAACAGGAGCAGCCATTCATCGTTCCTCAGCAGGTCAGGAAGTCCTCCACAGCCGGCCTCATTCCACCCTGGTATTTTGAAAGCTTGGTGTGGACACCCCTGAGGGAAGGGTTGCTTTGAGGCGGCCTGGCATTTTTGAATTGTTGGAGCTTATCCATCCTTTATCTTCCCCATTTACAAAAAAATAGGATTGATACCTCCTTCATGAATAATACAGGAACAGATACTTCAAGGATTTCCTCAACGGTAGTGACTGAGAGAGATCTAGGCGTCCTTGTGGATCACCACTTACATATGAGCCAGCAATGTGCTGCAGCTGCCAAAAAAGCCAACACAGTCCTGGGCTGCATTTATTTATTTATTTATTTATTTATTTATTTATTTATGAGACTTATATACTGCTTTAAGTGCAAGCACT